CTACTGTACTTTCAAATTTATGATTTCACTTTTGCAACTGTTAACGTCTCAGAGGGGATGGACAGAGGTGGAATTTTGGGGTTTTATTTTACATTGTCCATCAAACAGCTTTCATACTAATGAATAACATTTGGTGATTATAATGACATAGAATTAATATGGAGGCAAAGCCAGATTAAAGGCATACCAAGAGAAAGGGTAGAGGAGGTATGGTTAATTAGATTTTCTGAGTAACTGGAGGTTAAGAATTTTTCCATTGTTATTGCTAAGCAAAAGTATGTTAAGATATCTGAGCTCACTGGATCAACCTAATAGATTAAGTGTCATAACATACTAAAACAACTCTTTCCTGATTGAGAATCTTTCAGAGCCTCTGGCCATCATCCTGAGCATTAATTCTGATTGATCAGTACTATAAGTAAAGATAGGAGCTCTGGTAGCTTAGTGCCTAAGGCACTTGACTGCTAACCAGAAGGCTGGCGATTCAAACCCACCAGCCACTCCTCGGAAGGAAGGTTGGGCAATCCTACTTCCTTAGTGATACTGCCTTGGAAACCCAAGGAGGGGTCGCTATGATTTGGGGCCGACTTGATGGCATATAACAACAACAACATAAGTAAAGATGGAGAAGAGAGAACATGTAGGACTGAATGTATTCCAACTCTAGGACAGTCCCTGAACATTTTTTTCTTGACTGAGCTCGTTTTATTGTCATCTGTCTCTTTCACACAAAAGCACAATGGGATCAAATATAATTTTTTTAAAAAAATCTCAGATAATTGAAAGTGCTTGGTACTTAGATTGCCGTTAAGAAAGGATTTTTTTAGAAACTGACGTGGAAGTGATTGAAATACTCTTCATCCAATTGTGCTTTCCCATGCTTCATATGCAAAGAGCATACTCATACACTAAGCCTGGGGTTGAGCAATGTATAAAGGGTGCGTGAAGGTTTCACCAACCCATCCACTCTTTTTTCTTGTCTCTTTTCAGTCCAAGGGCAAGAATTTGTGAGACTTTTGCTTAATAACTTGTTCTGTGGCTTCAGTAAGAGCTATGTTCTCTCTCTTTCCAAGTTACTGACTCATATGAGGATTAACCCTATCATCCCAGCAGTGGATTTTAACTCCCTAGATCTGACAAGAAGCTCTGGTGGTGCGGTAGCTAAAGCATTCACCTGCTAACCGAAAGGTTGGTTGTTTGAAGCCACCAGCCACTCCATTGGAGAAAGATGAAGCAGTCTACTGCTGCAGAGATTTACAGCCTTGGAAACCCTATGAGGAAGTTCTACTCTGGTCGCTGTGAGTTGGAATTGAATTGACAGTGGTGGGTAGATGAGACAGGAAAGAAGGAAGGAAGACAAAGGAAAAGGAAGGGAAGAAAAATAAGGAAAAAAAATCTCCCAAACTAAATTACCCATTTGGTCTTCCCCATTTCAGTAAAAGACATGATCATTCATGCAGGTTCTGAAGCCCAAAACCTGAGATTTGTCCTTAATTCTTCCTTTCCTTCATGTTCTTTCCTAATGCAACTCATCTGCAATACATGGCTTCTGTTAAGTTACATTTTTTATTTGGGGCAGTGGTGGTTCAGTGGTGGGATTCACGCCTTCCATGTCAGAGACTTGGGTCTGATTCCCAGCCAATGAGCTTCAAGTGGAGCCACCACCCATCCATCAGTGGAGACCTGCATGTTGCTACAATGTGGTACAGGCCTCAGTGGAGCTTCCAGACTAATACAGACTAGGAAGAAGGGCCTGGTGATCTGAAAGTCAGCCAATGAGAGCCCGTAATGGCTCGATCACCAACTGGTCCTGGGGATGGTACAACACTGGAAAGAATTTTGTTTTATTGTGCATGGGGTCTCCATGAGTCAGGGGCAGACTGGATCACAGCTAACAACAACAAACATTTTATTAAAGCTTAATATGCGTAGAGAAAATTGTACCAAGACATGTTCATTCCACTATGTAGAAAACCCGAAAATGAGTCCACTTCATTCCATCCGAGCTTGATCTTAGTCACCATCTCTTGCCTGGACTACTGCATTGGCTTCCTCACCAGTTCCCTTGCTTTCTCTCCCAGCCTTTATAGTTCATTCTCCACACAGAAACCTGAGGGGTCTTTTCAACATGTGATTAAAATCATACCTATTTCTATAATCTCACCTGCATGCCTCTCCTGCCATCCTCCAGCCACATTGGCTGTTTTATTGTTTGTAGATTGCTTTGTTTTAGTTTTTCCAGTACTTCAGATGCTTGTCCAACTCAGGGCCTTTACACATGCTACATCTCTATTTCTAATACCTCTTCCTT